GATTCCGTCCTTTTCTATGTTCCAGAATACTTTGAGTAGGATTGGTGTTAGATCTTCACTGAACATTTGATAGAATTCACCAGTGAAACCATCTGGCCCAGGGTTTTTTTGTTGTTGTTGTTAGTAGTAGTAGTAGTGGTTTTTTGTTTTTTGTTTTTTGTTTTTTTTTTTAATGACCTGTTCAATTTCTTCTTTTGTTATGGGTTGGTTTAAATTTTCCACCTCAGTCTGTGTTAGTTTAGGTAAGTGGTGTTTCTAGAAATCTGTCTGTTTCTTCTAGATTTTCAAATTAGTTGGAGTATAGTTCTTCATAGTATCCTGACATTATCCTTTTACTTTCTGTTGGTTCTGTTGTGACATCACCCAATTTGTTTCTTATTTGTGTTATTTGTATTCTCTCCCTCTTTTCCTTTGTTAAATTTGCCTGTGGTTTGCCAATTTTATTAATATTTTCAAAAAAAACCCACTTCTAGTCTTGTTTTTTTTTTTTCTATTGTCTTTCTATTTTCTGTTTCATTTATTTCTGCTTGAATCTTTATTATTTGTTTCTTCTGGTGACTGTAGGCTTTTTTGCTGCTCTTTTTCTGATTGTTGGAGATACCAGGTTAAGGTGTTTCTTTTGGCTCTTTCTTCCTTTTTGATGTGTGTATTTATTGCTAACGATCTCGGGTGGCATAGTATTTAACTGCTAGCCAGAAGGCAGGAGGTTCAAACCCACCAGCTGCTCCTCAGAAGGAAGATTGGACAATCTACTTCCGTAGTGATACTGCCTCAGAAACCCAAGGATGAATTGGATCTAACTTGACAACAGTGAGTTTGATTTTATTCATTGCTATACATTGGCCTCTGATCACTGCTTTTCCTGTGTCCCAAAATTTTGGTATGTTGTGTTTTTGTTCTCATTTGATTCAAGGAATTTTTTTATTTCATTTTTTATTACTTCTATTACCCAGTCATTTTCAAGGAGGGTGTTATTTAGTTTCCATGTGTTTGCTCTTTTTCTATTGATCTTCCTGTTGTTGATTTCTAATTTTATAGCATTGTGATCTGAGAAGATTCTTTGTAGTATTTCAATGTTATTAAATTTATTAAAGCTTGCTTTGTGGCCTAACATATGGTCTATCCTGGAGAATGTTCCATGTGCACTGGAAGAGAATGTATATTGTGCTTTTGTTGGGTGAAGTGCTCTGTAGATGTCTATAAGGCCAATTGGTGGATTATATTGTTTAGTTCTTCTGTGTCTTTGTTGAGTTTCTTTCCAGTTGTTCTATCTTTGATTGAAAGTGATGTATTAAAGTCTCCTACTATGACTGTGGAATCATGT